TTGACTGCCCATCGAACTGGCTGGCTAATGGCTAATGACACCGTTAAATACCATGATTACTTGTTAATTACTTTATAATGATATTAGTTAAAAGAAACTTGGAAGGAAACCTGTGCGGATGCACGGGCACCTCACTTATTATTTATGAAAAAATGCTAAAAGAAATCATATCTCAGTACAAATTATTTAAATAAATAGAAAAAATATCTATGTTGTAAAATATACGTAGACTTAAATATAGTAAATATTACTTTGTCTTGATTATGAATGGCACCAAGGCTTTCTTTCATGCTGCCTCTAAACATGGATCTCCCATTGATGTAGATCTACTCCTTAAAACCAGCATGAACCATAATTTCATATTGTCTAATTCACTATCGGCATCCTCATACATAATTGCATCGTTAAGTAGGAAGTTGAGTTTTATCGCCAATCGATTTAACTATATGTATGTTCTTACCATACTTATAAAAATATAGTAAGCTCTGTTATCCATGCTCGAGGCCCTTTAGAAAAGAACAAAGAGAAAACGAAGATGATGACAATATTTTTTTAATGTTATGAGTTGTTTTGCAGAATAGCGTAGACGTAATTTATTTATGGTGTTAATTTATCAATAATACTTAAGTTTTTATTTTTTAAAATACTATACAAACGCATGTGCTCATAATGCCAACCCACTTACCTCCCTATGTATGCGCAACCACATATCCTATTCTTATAATCACCTCCGAAAGATTAGATCAGCATATCTTAAAATTGGTGAAGTCAGCACCAAAGCAAGTATTCATAATGCGCACACATATACCTTACCCTATGAGCACCTTCAAAAGATTGGACCGATATATCTTAAGATTGATGGACCTAGTCATTTGTTTACTTACCGGGTGAATTGCAGGGAAAATATGAAAGACATTTGTTGCTGAAAAATCCTGTGCGTGTGTGCAGGTGCGTTTCCTTTGTGTCCATTCCGGCCGTGAACTCTTGAGTTCGTGCTTCGATTCAGCCGTGAGTGTTCATTCTCAGTTGACGCCTATTGGTGGCCACTAAAAACTCCAATTCGAGTACAAAAATTTTAATAAAATAAATGGAGATAACATGTTACCTTATCGTTGTTTCTTTACACTAATGGGATTCTATGAGTTTTGTTGGTCTAACAGGTTTTGCAAGTTTAGGTCATAAAATGTAAACATGTCGGGATATTTGGGCTTATTCCCAATTGAATTTTGAAGGAGCACCAAAACTACCTATAAGATATGAAACCAAATCACATATTTGAGTATACCACATTGAAGTCAACACGACGATAGAACAGATATATGGTTTGTCTGATTTGGAATCTGGACGAAGGAGATACGATAACCAGAAAAACAAGCCATCTTGCCAAGCTGAGGGTGGAGAGTATGGGGTCAATTGGAAGGAAGAGAAGTCACATGGCAACCCAGATTAGGAAGAAAAACTTAACTCTAAATTTTCTTCTCACCTTACCTCTATCTCTATCGTATTTTCAAAACTAGGAAGTTGATTAGGTGACGATACTTAAGAAACTACCGATTGAAAGCAACAGTGCTATCCATGGCCGCCAACGTCGTCAACAAAAATCTCATCCATCTACCAACGGTAAGTTGACATGGGAATTAAGGATATGCATTGCGGATTATTGAGAAAGCAGTTCACAATTAATTCATAATGCCATCAATATGCCTGTACCGGACAGGGCCATCATTGATGTCAGTGTCGCCGCCAGACTGCGGCGTGATCTGTTCCCCGAAAGATCTGGTAGGAGTAGCCGACGGTGATCCGGGGGGCGAGGAATGAGCAGGTGTGCTCGGTAGTGATGGTGACGCCTCCAGTGAGCTTGCCAGGGAAGAATTTCCCCTTTCCACCACCACCGGTTCCTTGCATGGACATCTGCCGGGTGATGGTGCTTGGTACCGCGGTACGAAGCCTACCACAGATGTCGTCGAGCCAGCTGGTTGCTCGACGGTCTCCTCCACATCAAATTCAGCAGAGACCTACTCGCCTGTAGCTCTATACCATGGTCAAACAACATTTTCTTCAAATATGACACCATGACTTACATGGATGCGACCTCGACGAGGATCAAATAGTCGATGCACCTTGCTCCCTTCTTCCACGCCCAAGTACACATACGGTGCACTTCGGTCGTCCAGCTTCTCGAGGTGTGGTACTGTGTTCTTCGCGTGTGCAGTACACCCGAACACACGCAAATGCGCCCGCAAATGCGCCAAGTGCGGCTTCTTAACCATCCACGCTTCATACGGAGTGCGATTTCCCATCGCCTTGGTTGGCGGCCAGTTGAGAATTGAAGGTACACTGTGTGGCGCACTGCCTCCCCCCAAAGCCAGCCTGACACGCTCCTCCCCTTCAACAGTGAGCGCGCCATCACCATCATTGACCTGTTGCGGCGCTCGCCACCCCGTTCTGCTGCGGCGAGTACGGCACTGTCAAATGCCGCTGGATACCAGCCGATTCACACTGTTGTGCAAACTCGCCGGACAGGAACTCGCCACCGTGATCCGATCTCAGCGTCTTTATGCGCCGCCCAACCACGTTCTCAGCCAGGGGTTTGAACTTGGTGAAGGTTTCCAAAGCTTGGCCCTTGGATTTAATCACAAACACCCACATCCACCATGTAAAGTCATCAACAATCAAAACAAAGTATCGGTTACCAGTCATTCTCGCCGGTGAGATCCACCCGCATAGGTGGAGCAACGACTCGCATTCTCGCCGGTGAGATCCACCCGCATAGGTGGAGCAACGACTCGCGGCTTAACGCTCCAAAAGAAAACTTCTGGATTTTTCTTGAAATTTTCCGGCAAGTTGAAACCAGTCATGTACTACCCTGTTTCCATAAGAAAAGTGAAAACAACCAAGGTTAGCCTGCAAATGACAGTGATTATATAGAGGTAAATATAAAGTATTAGTCATGGTAATCTCTGTTATAAATCCTCCCCGGCAACGGCGCCAGAAATGTTGTTGGTATTTCTTAACGACGTTACTAGAAATATAATTCCCAGCAATAGCGCAGAAATACTTCTGGTATATTATGGTTACAGAGTTCATCCGCAAGCGCACGGATATACCATTGTAGCATTTCACCCGAGAGTATTCCAAGGGTATCGTATTTGTTTAATCCCGTGGGAAGATTATAATAGAGATACCATACTAATAATTTATATATTAATTGTAATAATCAAAGTCTAAGCATGAGTTAATATAATCCAAAGGGTAGAGTGACACTAAGCACAAGCATTCATACTCTTACTCATAATTATCTAAGCTAAGTGGAAAGAACATAGAAAGATCATATTCCTATACTTCTAGTATACATACATATTATACATACATCCTAGCCATATTATTACTTAGCTAATAACCTCTTTCTGATAACCTACTGGTGCTTCGAGAAGCCAACCCTGATTGCCAAGTTCCTTACGACAATCCGTCATGACCATCCAATCAGGGCTAAATACGGAGGACTACCCTCCCCAGGAAATTAACTTAGGACTATATACACGCGCGGAGGAATACATGTACTGAGCTGTCACCATCAGCGGCCCACCTCGCTTCTACAACATATAACCCCAAATAATGATATCCAGTAATCTAAACACCATGCTTAAATTACCAAATACTATTCTAATATCATCGTCATGACATAGAGTCATCGTAAATATGATCATTATACTCACACCATTGTATCTCCCAGATAAGCTAGCATCATAATGAATATAACTTGAACATATAGTAAAGTAGATATTCATATACTCGAAAAGTAATACAATACCAAAGTAGTATAAAGAAGAATATTCTAAATAAAATATAAGTCTTACAAAAGAAGAAAAAGCTACTAGAGTCCCCGCAAAAAAAAAAGCTACTAGAGGCATACCCAAATTCTTCCGAAGACTCCGAGGACTGAAGATTCTATTATATTTCTATTCCGCTATACTCCAGGGACTATACTAAATTTGAGAGATGAAATGATCTTCTTGTTTGAGGTGTGTCTTGAAATGGAGAGAGAGTGAGCCTTTTACAGACAGGTAGTGATGGTTATGGCGGTTGGAAAGGTTGGTAATACCCTTCAATCGCTATAGGGAAGCCATCCACACCATCCATCACCAACCCTGGATCGAGCGGCGCTGAGGAGGGTTCGACCGAACCATGGGTCGGCCCAACCAGCCCAGGTTTTGGCTGGTGGCCTCCTCTTTTGCTCCCATGTGCAGACTTGTGAATTTTGGCCCAATTGGTCATGTCATTTCTGCATTTTTGGCCCATTCGTTGATAAGTCTGATTCTTGACATCGTCCGATTGAACGATCGCTTGTTTTGATGTTGATTCTCGTCCATTTTTTGGTCATTCTATGCAAGAGGTTAGTAATCCTAGTGCTAGAGGACTATTTATTATTAAACATAAATATGCATTGCAAGTATAACTAGTTCTCATTTATTTTAGTAATATTGACGGTCAAAACTGATCGCTAACGACCGTCAATAAAACCGGATCTGCTGCCGCCGGAACTATGGACATGGTGTCAGATCAGCCCTCAGCCCGAGTGCTCTGATACCACTTGTTGGCGACAAACCTCGGATCAAACACTTTGTGTGCACACTGCAGCAATCCGACACGGCAACAGACGAGAACATAGAATGCAGAAAGGAGATCTTCAGAGGAAGAACAGTGAAGTTTCAGAGAACAATCGATGTACTGGAAATTGTGGGGTTGATTTTCTGTGGTTTTTATTCAACTGAATAGAGTAACATACAACTCAAATAACATGACTAGAATCCAAGGCTCAAATCGCGCCATCCCACGATACCACTTTTCGAATTCAATGACTCACACATCCGCGCTAAACTCACGCACGCGAACCCTACTGACACAGTCTGCTTAAGGACTTGATCGCCGCATCATCTGCATCTGCTAACAAACTCCAGCAGACTTATTCCTTCAACCTTTGCAACTGCTAACTTCTGGAACACGTAGGAGCCACAGCTGAACTAACAAACTCAACAACGTGTGACTATATTCATCGCAGCTTGTTAGCAACGGCCACCGGCACCGACGCCGGCGACCTAGCCGATGTAGTACATGGGGTCAGGCAGCTTGAAGGTGCGAGCGCCCTCCGGTGCACCCAAGATGTCACTCCACTGGTCTCCGATGTTACCGACGATGATGAAGCCGGCGTCCTGCAGCTTCTGACGCTCGCCGGACTTGTACGCCACAGCCGATAACTGGAGCCCGCCGGCGACATGAGCTGCCGGCTTCAACAGCAGCTTCTCCCATCCAGTGTAGCCCTGCCGGCGGAGGTTCGCGACGGTGATGGCCCTCTGGTCCTCGGTGCGGCCTGTCAGGAACACTGGCTTGACACCGAGCTCCAGCAGCCGCCGGTACAGGCGCCTCGTCTCCGGCAGCGCCGGCGCGCTCCCCTCTGCCACATACTCACGAAAGCTCGTGTCGTTGTACGGCGTAGCTCTGCCAAGGGATTAGTAAAGATAATTATAATTAATTAATTTCTTCATATGCATAAACGTATGCATCGTTGCATGCAAGGCAAAGTTAATTATTCGAATAAAACAGAAGCTTTCAATGGAACTGTCGAACTCATGGTACAGGACCGAATTCACGAATAAATAAAGTTGCAAGTTTGCTGGAAACTGTACAAACTTAATCATTAGTAAAAAGAATTTATAGCATATGAGCGTGCAGTGCGTCCATAGCTCCATACTTGTCTAGGATTAAATTTTCGATATGATATATATAGCATGCAGACAAAAATGTATCTGTCAAGTTATCTTGTCTTCACTGTTCATATGCATACATGCATCATGCATGGTCCCAGGGCTATACATAAGATCCCGATGCTAAATATAAAATTAGGTTGTACATTGAAGAATTTCCAAGATCAAACTTTTTAATTCTGTTTACTTATGGAATTGCAACATATATATTTTGTAATAATACTAAGAATTGCAAAGGATATTCCTGATACAAGTGTAAAAGATATGCTCTCTTCACGAAATTAAATAAAGGATGTTATACGGGAAAGCGTAACATGTCCTTGTTCAAACAAAAGAAAGAGCAAAAAAACCTTGTTCGATCTGCTTGAGCCTTGATGCAATGTTGTTGGAAAGTTGTAATATCTAAAGATTTCTTCTATTTACTGACAACATAGGCCGGCCGATTTCAACTTTTTCCATGTAGTTCATGAATTTTGATTCACGTTCAATAGTAGTTCATCCTAGTTTAACACTGTCATCAGCAAGATATATATCCTTGTTGTTCATATAATATTCCATATACTTTGTCAGCAAGTTGAGGGGTAAATATATTACAAGATTATTAAAGTCCCAACTTCAATTAATGAAGAGTATATATACCTACTGAAATTAAATACGTTCAAAATACTAATTCCGTTTTTTATTTGACAATGTTGAATTATTATATAACTTTTCAAATAGAATGAAGTGCACGGGCGGTTCTTAAACTTGTACAGATGTGTCATCTAGATGACTAGATTTCTAACATCTCAAAAATGCATTTTTGGGTCCCCAAACTCGTCATGTGTCATATAGATCTAAATGGACTCCAACCCGCTCCGTGAGATGACGTGGTATACCACGGTGATACTTTCGTGTCAGTGGGATCCACATGCATGCTAGTCATGTAGAAAAAAATAAAATTTAAAAGGAGATGAGAAAATAATGTTTTCAATTTTGAAAAAATAAATGAAAAAAGAAAGGGGAAAAATATTTCCTTTTTTTTTAATATGTGGCGGACATATATATGAGTTCTATTGACACGTAGGTGCCAACATGGCTGCCACGTCAGCACACGGGGCGGGTTGGAACCCGTTTGGATCTATATGACACACGAGACAAGTTAAAGGGCTAAAAAGTTCATTTTGAGAGTTTAGTGACCTAGTTTAGTGATCTAGTTGATACACCCATACAAGTTTAGAGACCGCCCGTGCACTTTACTTTTTAAATAGTAAGACCAATAATCAAACTGTGTCTATGTATATACATATATACGGGATGCCGGGCCCCACGCGGCAGCCGCACGGTGCGCCCGAAGGCGGCCACGCCGGCGCAGCGGCGGGAGGCGGCGCGCCCGCGCCCCTATGGTCGCCGGCGGCGGCCATAGGCACGGCGGAGCGGCGGCCGAGAGAGGGGAAGGGAAGGGGGAAAAGAAGCGGCGGTCCACGGCTCACCCCGGGTCGACGGCGACGACGGAAACGGCGACCGGAGCGGAGGAAGGCGGCGGCGCGGCTCGGGTGGACGGGGTCGACGGTGCTCCGGCGGTCGGCGAGCGAAACGGAGGGGTGGACGAGGTCGTCGGGGATGCGGTGAAGCCGAAGGTGGCGACGCCGAGGCGGGAGGTGGTCCGGGGCGACGACAGCGGCGGACCGGAGCTCGGCGGTGACGGCGGAGAGAGAGAGCGACGGCGCGAGCTCGATTCCGACGGGGAGAGAGGGCGGCGAGTGGCGGAAACGGTGGAGGGTGGCACGGGGAAGGTTTATATAGGATTGGGAGGGGGAGGGAGCTGCCGGACGAGGGGGAAACGGGCGCGGAAGATCCGGTCGCCATTGATGGCGCCGGCGAGGTTAGGGGAGAGGTTTCCAAACGAATGCGAGGGAGAGAGGGAGGGAAAAATGGGGGGAAAGAGGGAGGGAATCACGGGGAATATTTCCCCCCACTTTATTGCGCGCGTGGACGGCGGGAGGCGGCGGGATTCGCGGTGGCGGCGGCGCTAGGGCACGGGCGAGGCGGCGGGAGCGGCGGGAGGAAGGGGATGACGGGTGGGCCCCACCCGTCAGTGAGGGTGGCGGGCGGGCCCGCCCGTCAGCGGCACGCGCGCGGGGAGGAGGCCGAATTTGCCGCGGGGGAGAGGAGAGAGAGGGAGAGAGATGGGCCGAGCCGGCCCAAGAGGGGGAGGGGGGGAAAAGGACTTTTTAGGGTTTTTCTTTTTATAAAACCTTTTTAACTTTGTTTATTTCTTCTTAATTATTATTTGTGCTCTGAAAATTCCACTAAAATTTATTTACGCATTTTAGGCTTTTAGGAAATATACAAAAATCCTCCAAGCCTTATTTGACTTTTAACTTTGCACATTTTAATTGTTGGAGGCTTTCACACGGATTTTAATTATTCTAGGCATAATTTCGGGGATGTATTTTAGAGTCGTTTTGGGACGCGACAAGGGCGCTCTCCCCGGTCGCGGGACCATGGAGAGGGAACCAGGAGGTACTGAACCTGAACCTGTCCTAGGTCACATGGTTGCGGTGGAGGATTATATTCTCTGTGGTTTTCTCCCCCCGCCTTCTGAGTTTCTACAGTCTTTCTTTCCTCCATTTGAACCCCAATTCCATCACCTTCCTCAATATCTTTTCGCATCTTTGTGAGGCCTACATTGGGGTAGAGCCATTTCTCGACCTTTTTCGCTTCTACTACAAGCTGCGTTGGATGGAATCCACCAGGGTATCTGGATGCGTCGGTTTCCGACTCCGGGATGGCCTAAAGTCGCGCTATATCCCCTTCCAATGCCCTTCTTCTCGCAGCAAGTGGCAGGCGAGGTGGTTCTATCTTCAGGTAGAGGATTCAGATCCAATCTTTGTTGTTCCTGAGGAACAACCAGACAAGATTCCGTCTTGGACTGCCAAACCCGCCTTGACCCCTTCTCTTCAGTTCTTCATCAATCCCATCGATGACCTCCGAGTACGAGGTTTGTCGAGGTATGAAGTCGCTGCCGACTTCATTGGTAGGCGGATCCAGCCGCTCCAGGCTCGAGCCCACCCAGCCTTTGACTATTCTGGGCCGGAGGACGCGACCCGAGTTTCTCCTCGGGTATTTTTCTTTGTGTTTAATTTGACTTCCTTATGTGCATGTTCCTCCTGACTTACCGAATTCTGGTTCTGTCTACAGGTTTGAACAGCGAGACCATGGAGCGTTGCGTCGGACAATTGATGATCAGTGGCCCGACAACGGTGAGTAACGTCCCCATCCCCCTTTGCGAGAAGGGGAAGGCTGAGCATGAAGCCGCAATTAACGTGAGTGTATTTGACGACCCCCTTTATTTTTGCTCCTAGATCGCATAATGACTTCACGCGGTGCAGGCTCTCCCTCTGACCGACGTCATTGGACCGCTCTTGGACCACCAGGCGGCGGCCTCGTTGAAGGAGGGCGTCGCCCAAGAGGCGTCCGACGCGGCCATTGCTGCTGCTGCCACGACTAGTGGCAGCCGTGTCCCGAGGAAGGGGAGGAAATTCACCTCCGTGCTCGGCAGCCGCCGGAAAGCGTCCTCCCATCGGTAAGTCTCTTGAGTTGTTAACTACGTAGTCGGAAGATGTCCCCCTCACGTCGTACTCGGTTTACTTAGGCCTTGGATGCGTCTCCGCCACCTCCACGACGGCAGAATCTGGTGACACTTGGCGAGAAGTAAGTGGACAAAATTTGAGGTCCTTCCCTTGGTTGAATTCTGGCGACTTGTCTTGAGGGCCAGACATGTTAATCTTCTGTAGGTCGGCGCGGGCGAAGGCGGTGCAAGACGGGTCCGGAGGGAACTCCAGCACGTCTCCTGCGATGGCCTCGACCGATGTCGTGGTCGTGCCCAGGAGCCGTGAGGTGACGCCCAACGGCCCAGCCAGTGATCTCGTGCCTGCTCGAGGCCTGCCTGCTGACGTCCTCACCTGGGGGGAGCTCCAAGTCGAGATGGGGCACATCCTTGAGGTTGGTGCTCATGGCATAAGTCGCGAGATTGCGGAGGCGAGGACGGCAGCAGCGTCGTCGGCAAATGAGCGTGCCGATAAGCTGGCGCGTGACCTGGCGGAGGTTCGTGAGGACCTCCAGAAAATGAGGGAACTAGTGGCCGGCAACGAGTGACAACGGTGGGGACTCGAGAACCGGATGTCGGAACTCGAGAATGTCACGTCCGGAAATAACCCAACGGGCGTTCCTTACGTGTGTGTATTATTCCTTGTCCCAGGAGGCAAGGTACACCAAAAGTTGATACAATTCAGAGTTTAACAAGCGGAAGCGTATATAGATAATTTATTACATGGGCGGCGAAGGCCCAGCACACAAGAAGACAAACGAAAAACAGCAGAAGACTAGGGCGACGACCACAGGCGCTTGACGGCAGGCACCAGCTAGACACCAAAGCCTTCATCTTCCGGGAACTCCTCTTCTGGGTTTGGGAAAAATTGAGCAAGACTGAGTACAACCACCGTACTCAACAAGACACACCCACAAGTGCAGAATAAATGCAAGGGAGTACAAGGGAGTTATAACATAGGGGTTAAGTTTTGCAGTAAACAGCATTTAAAAGTCACTTAGTTGCCAAAACCTATTTTATGAAGACGATCCTAGAGCTATACAAGATTATTAATCAAGGCCGTGAACCCACACAAACCTGCCTTAACCCAAGGCCTACGATGATTCAAACCGAACTGGCAACCCGACCCTGGGTCCTAGCTCGTCCCAAGCCAACCCAGGCCAACCATTCCACATTTTAGTTGTTAAGCAGGTTTTAAGAATTAAAACACTAACTTGGGTACATTGCTAGGCTTGCCCATAACCGAGGGCGCGGCTATTTGAATAGGTTTTACTCTGATCAGAGGTGTACATCTTTACCCACAAGACATGTCTTCCTCACGTGTAACCACATGCCACATACCACCACGGCATACAGACGGAAGACATGACATAGTTTCCAACCCA